GGTCTCGGAGAAGCCTGCAGCTGTAACACTCTGCGCAGCTTCTCTGGCAAGGTCCACTGCTACTGTAACAGTCTGAACCTCACCAGTCACAGATTGACTCTGCCTTACGCCCGGAATGCCTTGCAACACATGTCTCCATGCGTGATGCACAGTTGCTACAGACAGCTGATCCCATGCCTCCACCAAGAAGTCCACAGCTTTCTTGATGTTAAATATTCTCCAGAATTGTTTGAAAAGTATTTTTTGCTCTGCCAACTGTTGATCCTCGTCTTCTTCGCTCTTGCTATCGGTGGTGGTGTCACTCAGGTTACGCAACTCTTCCCTGGTGTTGGTGTAGTCGTTCAGGAGCTTGAATTTTTTAGTAGAGAATGCAGCTTTTACATTACAGGTTTACTCTTGGTCCATGGGCTGTAATATAGATGTAGTGTTGGGAGGAAGGAAGACCACTTTTACGTTGGGGTGACGATCTATCAGTAGGGGCGAGTGTCCTGGTGCGTTGTCCAGCAGCAACAAAATCTTGAATGGCACATTCTGTTGCTCACAGAATTTCTTTACATCGGGAACGAAACAGTCATCAAACCAGGAGAGGGACAGTGTAGAGATCATCCACGCCTTACATGCGGTCAGCCAGTGGACATTTAGCTTGGCCATGTCCATGTTCTTGTAGGCGTGCGGCTTGCGGGCTGTGTGGATCACCGATAACTTGAGCTTACAGGTACCGGAGGCATTGGTGGTAAACAGGACGGTGTTGCGCTCCTTCTGCATCTTCCGGCCCCGAATCTTGCTGGCATTCTTCACAACGAAGGTCTTGGAAGGTAGCTTTTTCCAGAAAAGACCAGATTCGTCCATGTTAAACACCTGGTCGTCGGTGTACTGTCCTTCCTTCATAATCCCACGTAAAAACGGAGGAAATTCCCTCGCCGCAGCACGGTCAGCACTAGCTTCTTCACCACCAATGTTTATATTGGTGATCTTGTTCCTCTTCTTAAACCTCTGTAACCACCCAGAGGAAGTATTAAAGGGTTTGGGCTCTGTAATTCCCATCTTTCGTGACACTGCAGCATACAGTTCACGTGCATACTCCTTAACAGAGCGTGTGTCGACCGCCATGTTCCGTCGCGCCTGACGCACCAAGTAGCTCACAAGTAATTTTTCTGTCTTGAGAAGCACCTGGTTGTGAAAATACTTGATCATAGAAGCACCTGTAGACTTTGTGATGTTCATGTGCTCCTTTATCTTGGCTGCATCCTTCTTTATCGTCCGGATCGTAGATTCGTTCACACCATGCTGGCGTGCCAAATCAACCTGTCTTGTTCCTTTCTCTAACTCTTGGATGATCTTGTACTTCACCTCGTAGCTTAAGGAACGTCGTGTCTTCTTGGGCTTAGGGCGGCTGGGTCCAGGCAAGGAAAGGTTTCTCTCTGGGGGTGGTGGTCCGGCAGAAGCCATTTTACAGAACAATGGATGCACGATTACACGGTGTGGCCTGGAGGGATGAAACTGCCGCGGCTAGGTCAAGCGTCGTCTTTCCTCCCTCCCTCCCTCCCCCGGGTGGACACGTCATATTACTTTAAACCAATTACAGCTAGCAGCGGAGGGAGGTAGGGATGCATGGCCAATCACAGTCCGATACATCATATGACGTCACTGATAACGCAACAGAGACATGCACTGCGCAACCTTACCGCGCGGCTTGGCCAGGCGGAGGCAGAGGAGGGAGGAGGCGGGAGCAGGCGGGTGGGGCGAATCTAAAAATAGCGTCGAGCCGGACACTCTCCGCGTAAAGGGGTACACGCACCGCGGAATGTGAGCATCCTGGGTTCCAGCAGGGCACCGCGTAAATGTGGAAACGCGGAATGTGGGACCACGTAAAGTGAGGGTTGACTGTATATATATATTTATTTATTTATTTATTTATTTATTTATTTATTTATTTATTTATTTATTTATTTATTTATTTATTTATTTATTTATTTATTTATTTATTAAGGCAGCAAGCATGAGGAGTGAGGGTCTTATTGTATGACAAATTTGCTTGTGTGTGATTGCGTGGTAGCAAGTTAAATATCAGCTGTTGAGGAGCACTTGGCAGCACTCCTTTCCACTCCATCTCTCTAATTACCCACACCTTTCTGCTTTCTCTCTCCATATTTTAAAATGTTATGTAACATAATGTTGAAGGGATACAACTTTGCTCATTTATACTTTCACTTGTCACAATCTCCTTAAAAATACTTTAAGTTTCGTGTTTATTCAAGACACTTTCAGGTCATGAAACCCACTAATCCCCACCCAAGAAAGGGTGACCTGACATTCCATCTGAAGGTCAGTAATATGGGACCACTAATTCCCCACCCTACCTCCACCTGACATTGTATCAGGTCAGGTCAGTTACATGAGACCCACTAATCCCCCAACCAGTCTTTGCTGTAACACACAGCTTCATTCACGCCCATATCATATATGATTTTACATTTTTTAATATATTTATTTAACCAAACTTTTACATAAACTTTTCTGGATTATTATAGTAAAGAAATGGAGTTTCTATCATAATTAAAACTGCATTTAACGACTCCAGTAGTTTAGACTGAATGAAGACATCTCCAGCACCCAGAAACGTTCTGGGGAAGTGGGTTAGTTTCTGTCTGTACAAGATTTTAGTTTAGACACTCGGAAACTTTTCCTGGTAAGTGGAAAAAGTTCCGGGGATAATGAATTTTCTGGGTTTGAGAAAGTCGTCTGGTTATCCGGAAATCTTTCATCCCCGGACATACTCTGCACCAATTGTTCTGGCTAACGGGGATATCACTGTAGTTGAATAACATCAAAAATTTCAGTACAGGTATTTTGTTCATCACAATAAAGGGTATTTTATGAATGTACAGTGAACCCTCACTTTACGCGGTCAATTGAACCCACAGAGGCCCGCGTTGCGTAAAGTGAACAAAATAACATATAGGATTAAATGAAATAGAGACCGGCTGACCCCCAAACTCCACTTTTTCCGACACAATACCTATGTTCTAGTAAAAATAACATCTTAATTTTATGATGGTACATGCACACAATTAATATTTAAGAGAAATAGAGAAATACAGTCGCCAAATTAATGTCCATTCAAATAATGGACTCAACTCCCTCCCCCTCTTCTCACACTCTCTGGCTCTTCCCTCTCTGAGAAATGTTTGGGGGAAAACACTAGATTTTAAGGTATAGTAATAAATAATCCCTCAAACTAAAGTTAGGATAATATAATTGACATTGCTGGATTCCTTGTAAGACCAGGAATATTTTGAATACAAATGTCATATATTTTGCACAAAAGATAACATATTTACTCAGAGTAAACAAAATACTTAAAGTAGATCTAAAATTTGTATGTCTAATGCAAAATCTATGATGTTTTTATTCAAAATGATCATCAAATTGTAAGAATTCCAGCAATGTAAATTATATTCTGGCCGAGTAATTTGTATGAATTTTATGAGCTAAAACAAATATCTTCAGTTAATAAAAAAAAAAAATATTCTTCACTACACTATCTGTCAATCAAAACACCCCACCTTGTCTCCCCCCCCTTCCCACCACGCCAGCTGGGTCGGTCGGACCCTCCCTCCCTCCCACCCCCCACCTCCCCTCCCTACCAGAGAAATGTTTGGGAGAAAACAGAATATTTACCTTTTTAGTAATAAATAATACTTCAGACTAAAGTTAGGATAATATAGTTCACATTGCTGGATTCCTTGCAAGACCAGGAATATTTTGAATATACACGTCATATATTTTGCACAAAAGATAACATATTTTCTCAGAGTAAACAAAATACTTACAGTAGATCTAAAATTTGTATGTCTAATGCAAAATCTATGATGTTTATATTCAAAATGATCATCAAATTGTAAGAATTCCAGCAATGTAAATTATATTCTGGCCCGGTAATTTGTATGAATTTTATGAGCTAAAACAAATATCTTCAATAAATAAACAAAATATACTTACCCAAATACTATCTGTCAATCAAAATACCCCACCTCCCCCCCTCTTCCCACCTGCTCCCTGGGTCCCTCCCTCACCCCCACCTTCCCTCCCTACCAGAGAAATGTTTGGGAGAAAACAGAATATTTACATTTTTAGTAATAAATAATACCTCAGACTAAATTTAGGATAATATAATTGACATTGCTGGATTCCTTGCAAGACCAGGAATATTTTGAATATACACGTCATATATTTTGCACAAAAGATAACATATTTGTTCTGAGTAAACAAAATACTTGCATTAGATCTAAAATTTGTATGTCTAATGCAAAATCTATGGTGCTTATATTCAAAATGATCATCAAATTGTAAGAATTCCAGCAATGTAAATTATATTCTGGCCGGGTAATTTGTATGAATTTTATGACCTAAATAAAAAAATTATTCTTCACCCGTTTATATGAGTAGATGCACCGCGTAAAGTGGGAATTCTGGTTCTGGCAGGGCACCGAGTAAATGTAGAAATGTGTAAAGCGAGGGTTCACTGTAATGGTACAAAAATTATATCCATACTGTATTTACAGATCTAGTAACTGAGTAAGGTTTATTTCAGAAAATTTGTTTCATTGTAGAGTTCATATTTGAGAATACATGCTCTATAGAGGTAGAAGAGTATGTTGGGACTGAAATAATTTTCTCATTTAGAGTAATGCATGAGTCTTTATTGAACAGTATTAAGACATTAAGACAGTTTATTACAAGCTGGTATATAACAGTACCTTGCAATCCAGTCCCCATATATCACACCACTACATAGCTCATATTCAGTCATACACGTTGCTCTCTTTTTTTTACTGATGAAAAAATATACACATTGATGAAGATGGCAAGTTGTTTTGTTATGAACTAAGCAGTTACTGACAATAGTCAAGGAAAGGAGTAATGAATAGTAGTTTTGATTGTATCATAAATGCTTTTTTTAATGTTTCACTTTAGATTTTTCTATTTTTTCTTTTCAGCTTCAAAGCAAGATTTGGCTACAAATTCAAGCTCAAGATTCAGCAATAGTCCAAATAAACTTCGTTCCATAAACAACTTTTCACCACCTCCAGGATATAAGGACGATGTAATGCCTCCACCCAGAGGCCAAAACTTTGTCACATCACCACCAGGCTACAAGAGTGATGGCACATCTCCAGACTTCAAGAAAGATGTCACACCCCCTCCAGACTTCAAGAGTGATGTCACATCTCCTCCAGACTTCAAGGGTGATGTCACACCTCCAGGTTTCAAGAGTGATGTCACACCCCCTCCAGGCTTCAACAGTGATGTCACACCCCCACCGGGCTTCAAGCCAGAAGTACCTACTTCATCCAATGCTACCAAGAGAGGAGCGGAAGTTTTGGAAGATGAACCACAATTAAAGAAAATTAAAAGTATGTTTTACATATGCATAGTCCAACCTTCTATAGATAATAAACCTACCCACCTTTTGATGTGTCATAGATACTGCATATATACACAGTGATATCCCTGTTAGCCGGAACAATTGGTGCAGAGCCCTTCCGGGAATGAGAGATTTCCGGGTAACGAGACGACTCTCTTAAAGCCGGAAAAAAACAGTAAAATGTTCGCGGAAGTTCCAGAAATTGCCGTTACAGCATCTCTCAAACCCGGAAAAATATCCCTCATCCCCGGAATTTTCCGAAGAACAGAAAATTTTTCTCGAAACTTCCACAAAATGCGCCTGATTTTCATCTCTCAAAGCCAGAAAAAACTTCCCCATCCCCATAATTTTCCGGGTTTCGGGAAAATTTCTAGGAATTTTCTGGAAAATGTGTCCCTCGGAAAATCGTTCCCAAAGCCGTAATTTTCTGGAAAACTACAGCTTTTGGGAACGATTTTCCGAGAAAATTTTAATTCCTGCTATCGGAGAGTTCCGGGCATGAAGGATTCCGGCTAACGGAGATATTACTGTAGTAAAGCCTAGGATACCGATAGTAATGTGTCCTCCATTATTGCCGTGTAAGGTCAATCATCGTATCGTGAATCATTAATTACCATTAAAACAAAGTAATAATAATGAGATGCGTTTCCTAGTCTTAACTTTTCATGTCTTTTGTGTGGCTTTTTACCCTCCTTCCCCCCAAAAAACAATAAAGTGAATGAAAAATGCAAACTACAGTCAACCCTCATTTTACGCGGTTAATGTAACCCACAGGGTACCGCGGAAAGTGAGAAACGCGTAAAGTAAATAACATAACATATGGGATTAAATGAAATAGAGACCAGCTGACCCCCAAACTCCACTTTTTCCAACACAATACCTATGTTCTAGTAAAAATAACATCTTAGTTTTATGATGGTACATGCACACAATTAATACTTACGAGAAATAGAGAAATACAGTTGCCAAGTTAATGTCCATTCAAATAATGGACTCAACTCCCTCCCCCTCTTCTCACACTACACTCGCTGGCTCTTCCCTCTGAGAAATTTTGGGGGGAAAACCACTAGATTTTAAGGTATATTAATAAATAATACCTCAAACTAAAGTTAGGATAATATAATTGACATTGCTGGATTCCTTGTAAGACCAGGAATATTTTGAATATAAATGTCATATATTTTGCACAAAAGATAACATATTTACTCAGAGTAAACAAAATACTTACATTAGATCTAAAATTTATATGTCTAATGCAAAATCTATGATGTTTATATTCAAAATGATCATCAAATTGTAAGAATTCCAGCAATGTAAATTATATTCTGGCCGGATAATTTGTATGAATTTTATGAGCTAAATAAAAAAATTATACTTCACCCGCGTAAAGGGGTACACGCACCGCGGAATGTGATCATCCTGGGTTCTGGCAGGGCACCGCGTAAACGTGGAATGTGGGACCGCGTAAAGTGAGGGTTGACTGTATATTCTTTAAGTAATGTTTATATTTATTTATTTATATATATATATATATATATATATATTTTTTTTTATACGGTGAATAGCCCACCCTGGCACAGGTCATCGACCCACATCACGACCTGAGGGGGGTAAGAATAAAAATAATTTAAAAATAGAAAAGGAAAAGTATATATTAATCTATACCATGAAGATGCCTGAAAACCAGCTTTTTAAAGCGAGACATTGTATGAGTGTGAAAATACAGAAGAAGGCAGAGCATTCCACAGTTTGGCTGTGTGAGGAAAGAAGGATGTACTATAACGGGTTATTCTAGTGTGACCGATATCCACAGCGAAACGGTGGGCACCTCGAGCAAGACGTGTGTTACGAGCCAACGGCCTTGCCGGCGGTACACAGGAAGCCAAATCCACTGAACATTGCCCGTTAAAGTACCTGTAAAAGAGAGAGAGTGAAGCAACATTGCAGCGAATAGAAAGGCAAGAAAGTTTGTAAACTAAGGAGAAGAGTTAATGAGACGAAATGCCTTTGATTCCACCCTATCTAAAAGTTGAACAGAAGAAGAGCCACCCCAGATATGAAAGCAGTACTCCAAGTTAGGACGAATGAATCCCATATATACTTGAAGCAACTGCTCAGGAGTGAAGTAGCTACGGCATCTGTACAGCATTCCCAACTTTCGGGAGGCAGCCTTAGCAATGGTGAGGATGTGTGGCTTCCATGACATACAAGAGGAAATGGTGAGGCCTAGCATTCAATTTTAGAATTTGGCAGAATGATAGCATCCTGAAATGTGATTGGTAGGAGATCATCTAATTTGTACAGTGAAATTGGTAAATACTGAGTTTTATTACTATTGAATTTGACCCAAGTTTCTACCTCCCCATTCGGAGATGCTGCACAGATCCACATTGATAGATTTAACGATATCAGCTCTAGAAACAGATCTAGTTTGAGAATTAAGGGGAAGGGGAAAATGTGAAGAAGAGTGAAGAGTAGAATCATCAGTGTAAGAATGGATAGAATTAGTTGTAGTGTGAAGTAAATCATTGATTAAAAGAAGGAAGAGAGTAGGTGAAAGAACAAAACCCTGTAGGACATCACTATTGTGAGAGAAAGAGCGAGAGATCGATCCCTCGACAACAACTGCCATGGATCAGCTCTCAAGGAAGCTCGAAATTAGAGAACAAAGTGGGGGAGAGAAACCAAAAGAGGGAAGTTTAGAAAGCAAAGACTTGTGCCATACCCTGTCAAATGCTTTGGAGGTGTCGAGGGCCGTGATGAAAGGTTCCCCAGAATCCTTAAGAGAGGGATAATGGTCACACAAGAGGAGATGGGATGCCATTGTTGTTGTCAGTGTTTACACCCATGATGTCAGTTATCCATCTGAAACTGAAGAAAATATGACCCTGGTTGTTGCTGTAGTAAAAGTAATGTAATAAAATATGTAAGTTTTAATTAATGTTATTTAATGTACAGTAGAAGTAACCACTGATGGTAAAGAAAAAAGTGAGAGACTGATAGCCCGACAGGTGTGGATGGGGCTGTTGTCATGGAGGAAGTAAAAAGGCATATTTGGTGATTAACTGATTACTGTATACTGCTTTCATACAGGTATGACTATACTGCAATGTTTGCAGTTTACATGTCGATGAATACTTGTAATTATAAAGATAAACTACCCTGGTTATAAGCAGTTGCGGCACCTATGCTTACTCACATTTACCAACCCTACAAGAGCCAACAGTGCCCAGACAACAGGGGTTGTATTGTTCGTTTTGACATCCATCGAACCCCACTTTTCAGATAAATTTTTTGAGCGACTGTACATAAGCACTCATGGAAACATAGTGTCATTTATTTTATTAAGAATATGTACAAAATATTCATTGTTGTTAATTACTGAATATCTAATTGATTGAATTAATGTTTATGTATGCAAAATGAACAATACGTAGAATATTAAAACATACAAGACGAGATGAGACGGCATTGTTGTTGTCAGTGTATCCACCCATAATGTCAGTTATCCATCTGAAACGGAAGATAATAAGACCCTGGTTGTTGCTGTAGTAAGATTAATGTTAAAAAATATATATATATTTATTTGAGGCCAAAATGCGCTTTGTGGTGGTTATCACTATTTTCATCCTTCCTCTACATATTTGCGTTGGATGTAACCTTCTAGTTAGAATTGAAATATGGTTGAAAGTCATTCAAAAATAAGGTGTGATTTCGTCTCAGGCCTGGTGCTACGTATCTGGCTGTGCTCTCAGTTCCAGAAAGTGGCAACATCCTGTCAGAGCGAGAGGAGCGCGAGCCAATGACAGCGTGCCTCCCTCGGACCATACCCCCCCCTGGGGCAGCCAATCACAATGTATTTCCCCTTGCTACGTCACAGCTCCTTGGCTAATCCACGCGCCCAGATGCTGCCTCCTCCTTAGTGTTGGTGCGTTTTTTAGCATCAGGGGGTTAAGTGTACGTTCTACTGCTATTTTTTATAACTTTTGGCATAACATTGACGTTATTCGTGTTTTACGGGTGTGAGAAGTGCTGTGCAATATCTGCCTGATATTAGAGCAAGACTCGAGTGAGGCCAGGCCTTCTGGTGTGGGTTCAGGAGCCCATTATTCCTGAGCGTGTGTTTGGCGCTAGTGCTCACATGGACACCCCAGTAATGCTTGGTGATAGTGATTTTGGTGGTGAATTTAGTGTTGATTATTGTGATACAAGTGCTACTGGCGATGGTGCAGAAAAAAACATAAATCACGTTATGAAGCATCGGAAGATCTTTTTAGGACTATTATGACTTACCTGTCGACAATGAAAGTGACTCACAGCATAATGAAAGTGATTATCATAGTGACAATAACACTTTGAACTCACAGAATAACTTTTTAGCGTGCTACAAAGCATCCGAAGAACTTTTTGCTGACAATGACGAGTTAAAAGACAATGTGGCATGCATTGACGATGATAATGATGGTGAAAGTGAGCTTGAAATAGATGAATCTGAGTATACTCAAAATACAAAAAGTGACTGCTATGCATCACAAAACCTTTTTGCAGACTGTGATCCGGTACAGAGTTACGTGACATGCACTGACAGCAATAATGACGATAAAAGTGAAGATGAGAATGATGAAAGTGAGTCAAATGGTAACACAAACAGTGACACTAATGTATCACAACAAGAACATACAGACTGTGAGGAGGTAGAAGTGGACAGTGAGGAGACATGCGTCGACCTTGATAGTGATGAAAGTGAGCCTGACCCAACAAATGCTAGTGAAAGTGAGCCCATACCTCAGTCTGAACTGTTGCCGGCATCAATAATACTCAATGATTTAGTTGATGAAGAATCTCTGTGGCGATTTTTAGAGAGGGCAGAGAAAGACTTTGATCAGTACGTGATTGATTATAACGAGGCCGTTAAAGTTATACGCACTCCTCAGGATTTACGTAACTTCAAGTTGCTACTATCTTCAGGGATAATAAAATGAAGGAACTAAACAAAGTAAGATTTTAATACTATTGTCCTAATACAGTGGGGTATGCTATAACGAATCTAATTGGCTCTAGAACCTCGTTCGTTATAACATTCATTCGTTATAGGATTAATCCGTTTCAGGCCCCCAAATACAACCACTTAACACTGAAAA